GGGTGACGTCATTGACTAGACCTAGCTAGACCTTGCTAGACTACTAACATCATTAAAGCACACACTTACCAAGGCTTTTTGTCGTTTGTTTGTTTTGGTCCATCCAAGTTCATTGTTACTGTGATGATGATCATCATCATCATCATCATCATCGTCATATATATGTTATATAGGTCACCCCGTTCCCCCAACTAACTAGAAATTTGTGACGTATGACGTAATTCCTCTGAGCTGCCGTCTTCAGACACAAATGCAAAAAAAACCGTTAAAAAAACATCATGGATACCTTAACAACCGGGTGAAAAGCTCACGACTCAAGGCTTGTCTAACGATAGCCTGTTTTCTGACCCTCTATTAATTTTTCCCTTTAGAGATAATCGAACACGCGTATGAAAATTAAACCACGGGGGGATTTATTCACCCTGTGGAGAGGCTAGTCTAGCAAAGTTCTGATCACATCAATTATTTCATCATCGGGATAATTTTTTCCCAAATTTTACGTACATACAGAGGAACCTTTTTTAGGAGTTTACGTTAAAAGCAAAAACTAAAAGTAAACGTTTTCTGGAATGATTCAGCAGAGGAAGGAACAAAAAATATATTTTTTAAAAAGAAAAATGTTTAAGGATTAGCTAACGACTTACAATCCATTAAAATCGTTCATTTCTATTTCAATGGGATCATTAATAAATTAACCTTTCTAGTCGAAGTAACTAATAATCGTGGGTCGTGGGTCGTGGGTCGTGGGTCGTGGGTACCAGGTTGTGGGTAACGTAGACCCACGAAAAAAATGGGAGAAGATGTCCCTCAGGGTAGTGGGGTTGCACCCCAAACGTTTCCGGGTAGGGGGTGGGGTAGGATAGCTGTCAGTCCCTGGTCTCGATTTCTGGTGTCGGTGATCAACTGCTTTGTTTGTGAAACAAATCGTTATTTGCGTGATCTTGCGGGCGTTTTCTCAAAATTGTGAGCGTGATTCGATTGGTGAAGTTAGCTCCATTGGAGAATATGACTTCCTATCTGGTCACGTGAGTGCAATAGATGGGGGAGAGGACCCCTACTGTTTCTGACAGCCTGCCTGCCTGCCTTGTGTGACCCGGCCTCGTTCTCAAGCTTCTGCTGATCCATCACTTGTGGTCAAGGTAGACTTTCTCAAAGCCCGTTTCCGGTTTCTGCTGGTTAGGTGGTCATTGTGATCGTTGTTAGTCGTTTCAGAATTGGATTTTTGGAGTTGAACTGGGCGCGCTGGATTGTTCTCAATAAGCTACTTTCGATATATTAGAGCGGTTTTCATTTGAGTGTCGAAAAGTAATTGGTTTTGCACTTTCTACACGATGCGATTGGCTTAAAAGATTCGCGCCACCTTTTCATCCAATCAGAAGTAAAACCAAAGCCAATTGTGACTTTTGCGTCAGCCACATGTAATTACTTCGAGTTTTGATTGGTTCAATGTATTGTCTGTGTCCTATGTGATTGGCCAGAGTAATTACTTTGGTTTTGGTTTTACGACACTCAAACGAAAACCACTCTAAAATTCAGCATGATAGCGAGTCTTAGAGGACACAAACAAAGAAAATGAATAAACATAAATAATCATGGTTTATTCATTTTCTTTGTTTGTCTCCTCTAAGACTCGCTATCATGCTGAATTTTAATATATCGAAAGTTGTCTATTATGTCAACGCCTTATTTATTTAATATTATTTACTAAAAATGATTGTCCCTCAATACGTGACGGAACTCGGGGGACAAAGGCTAAGTTTGCTGCAAACTTTAACTTAAGACCCAGCTTTCTTGTTTTCTTGATATCCCTATAACTTTTTTCCACCTTATTATTCAGTGCGCGTAGCAAAGCATTCTTAGAATTTTGTAGATAAAGATTCCAAAACTTTAAAACAGTTTTACACGGAAAAATAGTCTTGATATAACTTAAGTTAACCCTGTGGGCGGGGTCAGTTCTTGGATGGGTATCCAGCCACAAATATCCTGTCTGGTATCAAAAATCGCATATCATCAATATCAAATATCAACCTGGTAACCCCGACCCACGGCTATCAGTTACTCCCTTGCTAGTCTTTTCTAGACTCGAAACACTTTAGACAAGTAATTGAAGTCCTTGTCTATGAGTGAATGAATGGCGTTTTGAATTATTCAAAAATAGTAACCTTTTTCTTTTTAGAACATCAAAAATGTGACTTTGTACATAGTGTCAGATAGTGTTCTTTCTTTCTTTTTTCTTTCTTTCTCCTCTTTTTTTATTTGGCTCGCTGAATCGAAACATCCAATGGAAAAATTTCCCCGCGAGCTAGCAACTCAGTTCATAACCTAGAATAGGAAAATATTCTAAACGTAACTCGAGTGACTGATTATGGAACTGCGGTTTCTCTCTCAAGTGTTCCTATTACTAACTGTTTCACGAGAAAAACCCTCATACAATGGAATCCCGTTTTTTCGAACTTCCCTGGAAAAAGGAAATTGGTTCGAGATATCGGGAAGTTTGAAAAAAAATCTAGTGTAAAATTACCGTGTGGGCGAAGGACGTCTGTGCATTGCAATAACGTAAGACATTTTTTTTTTCTTGTATAGAACAGAATCGACCTGCTTTGTCGTTGGGAGTGAAAAATGAAACCCACATTTGCAAGTTAAAAAGGTAAATGCCTCAGTAAGGCAAATTTGTGTCCCAACTATCAGCATTATATCAACGTTACAAAAGAATGAAATTTGAAAAGTTGTTAGGCAATCACGTTTTAAAAAACGGTAATTGCAATCCGTTTTAATCCTCTTTAAGTTTGTCCATCCGTGCCTTCTTCTATATTTGCTGTGTTATTTAAACCCTCTTTTCATGTTTTGAGCGGTTATTTTTATGTTCCTCTCTGTTTGGTAGCGGTTCCAACTGTTTGAATTTTCAGTGATAAATTTCGTGACACAGATTCTTTTATCACAGGGGAATGCAACCGTAAACGTACTCAAGATATGTTTCTCTAAAATGATCGCTACGATCGCTGTGATCGCTGCGATCGCTGAGAGAAAAAAGCTCAGCGATCCCAGCGATCATAGCGATCATATGGAAACCACTCTCCAGCGATCGCTGAGATAGAAAAAGTTATCTCCCAGCGATTGTTGTCGCTGAGATAGCTGAAAGTTTTTTTTTCTCAGCGATCGTAGCGATCATATGGAAACCAGGCTTAAAGAGTTAAACAACAGAAACTCGCCCTGCTGAAGCTTAGAAATATTAAGACATCACAAAAAGGACTCAATTAGCCCTCTCCTCTTCTTTATGTTTCATATCGTCAGAGACTTCGTTGGAATCTCCAGAGTCTTCCGAGATGATGTTTATCCTTCACAAATTCAATGATTTGCCTTGTCTACCTCTACTCCTCTGACCCAGAATAAAAGAAGAATACTACAATTTTTAATTTTCCCCTCTTGTAACGCGATCAGACCGTATAATTTAAGAGCCAATACCCCAGAATGACACATTTCATTTGACACAGCAGTGGTCTAAATCGAACACATGTCGAAATTAAAAGAGTCATTCCAAAAATAAAAGCGGCCTATAAGCCGACTAAGAAAACCATTATTTGCCGTTGTTTACGAACACACGCCTGGGGAGAGTCATTCCACGGATAACAACTGGCCTTTACCCGGCCTAAAAGTTAGTATTTCTGGTCCTTAATCCGCAAACACCAAAGAGCCATTCCATAAATAAATCTGGCCATTTGCAATCAATAATTGTGCTCCTCAATTGAACACACGCCAGAAAGAGTCATAACAGCTCCGTCGACTGACAATGCCATACCCGGGGGGGGGGGGGGCCCCCCAAAGGAAAGGGGGGGGGGTGCCCGTGGGAAATTTTGAATAAAACCAACAAAGGGGACCGATCTGGGCTTGGCCCAAGCTTTTTTTGGTCGTGAGAAGAGACCCTTTTAAAAAGAAGACAAATCTGCAAGTGGATAACCTCGACGCTAACTGCTACAAAAAAGTATTATCTTGTTTACATCCTACCAGAATCCACAGTCTTCACGCTGATAGACAGAGTGGCCCTGGCAACGAAATAAGTTGTGCCCTTAACAAGAACAAGCGAGAAGAGATAAGATACTGCCTCGCATGCGCAAAATTCATGTGCGGGGGGGGGGGGGAGGCTCCGCATATGAAAGGGGTGGGGATGCTCGTCGGAAATTTTGAATAAAACCACTAAAGGAGACCGATCTGGGCTTGGCCCAAGCTTTTTTTGATCGCTAGAAGAGACCCTGTTAAAAAGCAGACAAATGATCATGAGAAAACTTGGATTATATGAATGGAGTAAATAAAACGAATTAGAAATATACAAATCAAATATATATTTTTATATTTTTTCGCGCGCAACCCTAAACGAGACCGTCACGGCTAAATATGATGGCGTTTTGCCCAGAACACCCTAAATGAGACCAAAATTCGAAATTTACACCCCTAAGTGAGACGACGAGCATCCCCACCACTTTCATATGCGGAGTCCCCCTCCCCGGATACCATAAAGATAGACAGACCCACGCGATAAATGCATGATAACTACCAAATAAGAAAACATTCATTAAGCATCCAAATTTACACAAAATGAAAATGGTCACTGTATGGTTTTCTCTGGCTGTTTTCAGTCAAGTTATCTTTTTCATAGGAATACTGAGACGGCAGCCAGGAGAAGTCCAGCCCAAATTACCATGGCGGCCGCAATTGATAGGTTTCCCAAGTGATTGTTGCCAGAGCCTTGCATTTGAGGACTGTTAATTTATGCCATTAATTTGTTGCTGTTATATGCTCTGTTTTTAATTTATACAGTGTGACTAGAAAACAAAAGAGCCATTGTGATGATCAGGTCATTTGGCTACAACACTAAAATTTACCAATCTGAATCCCGCTAGAAAGTTAAAAGAATTAGTCTTGTTTGCAACAAAAGAGCAGTCTTGAGGATTCTGGTAGTGGTAGTTTAATGACGTCGTCGTTCAACCGTAAACGTTTGCAGTCCTATGGCACAGAACGAGAGCCTAAACGAGAACCTCGAGAGATGTTCAAATGAGCTTACAGACAATATCCAGTCGTGGGCTGAGAAGCGACCGGAAACTATTGAAGCTTTACGAAGCCTGGCTCAAGAGCTTCTGGAACATGATAAAAATGTCCACATTGCCAAAGTTTCTGGATCCTCCTTCTCCATTGCCGGGTTTGTATTGGTGGCAACTGGTTTTGGCCTTGCTCCTGTTACTTTCGGAACTTCTGCGATCCTCTCAGCCGTCGGTGGAGCAATGTGCGCTGCGGGTGGAGCAACTGCTGCTGGTTCAGGCCTCGTCGGAAGTAAAATTTTCAAAACAAAACTTGCCAAGGCACAGGAAATTATTGACACCGATCGTCAAGCACAGGAGTCCGTTGAAAAACTTTTAAACAAGCTCTATTTTGAGATATCCGCGTTATCAGTCGGAGGGGCCATTGACATTCTCAGTTACAATAAAAACATCATTTTCTTTGTCAAAAACTTAGTGGATATAGGCAACTTTGCACAAGCCGCCGGTGGGACTGCAGCTACAACAGTAGCTAGTGAAGGAACTGTAGCACTTCTGAGTTCCATTGGAATAGCAAGTAACGTTGCTCGTATTGGTTTATTTACAATTAGTGCAGTAGCTTTGCCTTTTGATATTCATACTTTAGTGACATCAGCGATGAAGATAAAATCTAATGGTGAAGAGGAACCAGAGGCAGTAAGGAAGCTTAAAGAACTGGCAGCTGAACTAGAAAGAGAATTGGACAAGATACTTGAAGTTTTACGCGAATTCCACGGCGCAGACAAGAATCTCTTTGATCTCTCGGAAGACTCTGGAGATTCTGACGAGGTCTCGGACGATATGAAAGAAACACTGTCTGGCTAGGCTAACATTTTATGGATTATATTCTAGGATTTCGCTTTCTTCAGCTAAATTTCATCCTTAAAAATTCTTCTGTGTATTTAGAGGTTCATTTTGCTGGGTTAAAGTTTAAAGTTACTTATTAAGAAAGAACCAACGAAACCATTATAAGAAATTTCTGCTGCATGTGCATCATCGAAATTTCTGCTGCATCATCAAACTACATCAAAGCTTAGCACGATGGGTATGGGCGAGCATTATCTACCTTTACATACATTAGCAGTCGTGGCGAATGTCATTCCTTCTCATAATAGGATGAGATCGAAAAATATGGAATGGACATGATTTCTACCAGAGAGGTACTAAGCTGCTCTAGCTAACAGAGGGCGATTTCAATGAATCCCGGAATGAATTTTCGCGTTTCTAAAATGACAAGGAGCAGAATTTATCGACGGGTCATGGTCTGGACGAGCTTGGACGCAGACTGAAAAGACGGAAAGAATTAGGCTAAGGATAAATGGAAGAAACTCATTGTGAAGGATGTAGTTGTTGTTGTTGTTCCTCCATCGTTGAAGCATCATGAGTATCGCGAGCGATTCAGTGCAGCATGACAAGCAATGGGCCTATAGACGAGGGTACTCCACGGAACTCGTATTAGTTCACCTGACTAAGATGTGGACAACGGCTTTAGATTCGGACAGCGTAGGTTTTTTGTAGATTTTAGGAAAGCCTTTGACAGTGTGTCGCATGAGATATCATTGAAATTTCTTGAAAGTAACTTTGGAATCAGAGGGGGTGACTAGAATGAATAACAAACTATATGGAGGAAGAATGCAATTTACTGTGAGTGTTAAACGGAGTGGAAATCGGAACCACCTCATGTCGGAACAACTGGTATACCGCAGGGATCGGTACTGGATCCGATCCTGTTCGCTTTATTTATTAACAACAGCAACAACAATACAGTTTATTTCTGTCAGTTCGGGGTCTCTGTTTATGTATGCTGAGGATACGTCAATATTCTGCATTGGACAGTCTGCAGATTCAGCTATCGCCCTATTAAACAAAGCTCTGGGGCAAGTCGACAGAAGGTGCTTGGAAAATCGATTGACACCACATCCAGGAAAAAGCGAAGCGCTGGCGAAGTTTTGTTAATCAGCAAGAAAGCTATTATGCTCTGTCATGGCACCTCTACGCCCGACACTTCTAGGAAGCTCAGTACTGACAAGAAGGCTCTGGAAGATATGGCCAGTCATCTTACCGAGTATCATTAACAATTCAATTTTGAAATCGATATTTCCAAGGTTATGGAAAGGCGGCCATGTTAGTCCAATTCCAAAGGTCAAAAGGTAGATGTTCAACAGAGGAGTCATTTTAGGCTGCTATTAGTTCTTCCAGTTCCTTCATACTTAAACTTACAAGGAGTCTCTATATGAAAAACTTGCCTTCTTCGGATTCTGTAAGACTTCAAATTCCTTTCTAACTGGCGAATAACTGATGCCGTTGTGGGAGCCTTTCGCTTGTCAGTAATGTAACCGCATATCCTTGTAGGGCGACACTCCACGTCTATTCGAAGAAAATAGTTGGATTGCACAAGATGCAAAAATATAAAAGAAAGCTGTGAGTCTATTTCTTCCCCCAAGAAACCAGAACCCTAAAAAGACCTGACAAGAATACATCAATAAGGATTTCCATATTACATTTTAATTATCTGCAATTAAAAGTTATCTTAGTATATTTTTAGATTTTAGATGTTTCACTTTTATTCTGATGATTGTACATGTACTAATATTTTTAAGCTTTGTAATTAATTTATCTTGGTATGTGAAAGATTGATTTAAAAGCAAGCGCGAGATTTAAAATTCGATTATTCCTAGCAGTTGAGATGGAGGAAGTGAAGATTAATGAACAGAACTGAAAACGGAGAGACAATTCACGCTACTATAAGTAGATGCTTTTGGAGGCCTTTAAATCTTTTGAGCGAATTTCTCATGGCAATATTTGGCTTTTCTTTTCAGCGAATCAATCAATCAATCTATCTATCTGTTTAAGAGAAAAGGGAGTCAGCCCGATTTCGACGCGTGATTAAGTTCAATAATTAAAAAACTGAAATCTGAGTTAGTAATGAATTTACAAGACCCGCAGACTTAATTACGACAACGGCACCACAAATCTGTTCAAGCTTTTGAAAGTTTGCAAGAGTTCTGCATGGATCGTGAAGAGGGGTCACAATTCAATTCGTAATATCAAAATCCAAGGTAGTTATGGCAATTAAGGTGACTCGACCCAGTTTTTTTCGGGGGGTACCATCCTACTTTGAAGCTCTCTGGTAACCCCACCTTTACTTTTATCGTAAGTCTAACACATAGAATGGATAACATATAGATCAATCTCCAATATAACATAAAATTTTTGGCGATCGGAGTAAATGTCACGTGGTTATAATGCCACGCCCCTTTGAGGTCTGAGTCGAAAATCTGCTGTTGCCGGCATTTTTTCGTGAAAATCTCTCGGCTACACATAGTGCGCATTAGTGCCTTGCGCTGAACAGAGTTTCACCAAAATCGCAAAGACCCAATTCGAGAAATTCAGCGGTTTCCAAATTTAGGTCATAATTTATGCGAAAATGATAAGCAAACTTTACACGGATTATATCTAATAAACTATGAGATTCATCTCTTTATTTTGGGCATCGTTATAACAGATGGGTCCTTGCAAGTCAGCAAAACGCTTTAGGGCCTTGTAAATGCGCGCGATTTCGAGCAAAGCAAACATATAGAAATTATAGTTTTCGCTATTTGTTGACGTTTGTCAGCGTTTAAGAGTCCTTCTCACGAAAAAAGCATTTTCTTAAAAATTCGTAGTTTTTTTTCCTTCAAATTTTTTCAGGGCCACAATTGATTAACTAACTACCCGGACTCTGAATTTCATGGTCATTGAAAAACTGTGACATTATCTTCTATAAGCCCAAACTTGAGTAAACATTGAAGATTTTTAGCGTTTTGGCTGAGTTTGTGCTTTGGGAGTTGTCTATTGTTTCTAGTCTGTCATTATACAGCATTCTTGTTCAGCACGCGTGCAATGACCGCGCTTGGCTGACTTCCGAATGCTCACCGAGATATAATAATTTTGGTACAGTGAGACAGGCCATCGCGTGATACATAGAGGTTTAAGTCACAATTTTTAATCAATTCTCGTGCTTCTTGTGCCTTTGCAAAAAAATCAAGAAGTGCTACACACTAAATCTACTTACTATTAAAAAAATATCATTTTTTCATAGGTTTAATGCAAGCCAATAATTAAACCAACTCGTGACGGGAATATCTCGGTGAGCATTCGGAAGTCAGCCAAGCGTGGTCATTGCACGCGTGCTGAACAAGAATGCTGTATAATGACAGACTAGAAACAATAGACAACTCCCAAAGCACAAACTCAGCCAAAACGCTAAAAATCTTCAATGTTTACTCAAGTTTGGGCTTATAGAAGATAATGTCACAGTTTTTCAATGACCATGAAATTCAGAGTCCGGGTAGTTAGTTAATCAATTGTGGCCCTGAAAAAATTTGAAGGAAAAAAAACTACGAATTTTTAAGAAAATGCTTTTTTCGCGAGAAAGACTCTTAAACGCTGACAAACGTCAACAAATAGCGAAAACTATAATTTCTATGTGTTTGCTTTGCTCGAAATCGCGCGCATTTACAAGGCCCTTACGCGTTTTGCTGACTTGCAAGGACCCATCTGTTATAACGATGCCCAAAATAAAGGGATAAGTCTCATAGTTTTTTAGATATAATCCGTGTAAAGTTTGCTTATCATTTTCGCATAAATTATGACCTAAATTTGGAAACCGCTGAATTTCTCGAATTGGGTCTTTGCGATTTTGGTGAAACTCTGTTCAGCGCAAGGCACTAATGCGCGCTTTGTGTAGCCGAGAGATTTTCACGAAAAAATGCCTGCAACAGCAGATTTTCGACTCAGACCTCAAAGGGGCGTGGCATTATAACCACGTGACATTTACTCCGATCGCCAAAAATTTTATGTTATATTGTAGATTGATGTATATGTTATCCATTCTATGTGTTAGACTTACGATAAAAGTAAAGGTGGAGATACCAGAGAGCTTCAAAGTAGGATGGTACCCCCCCCCCCAAAAAAAAAACTGGGTCGAGTCACCTTAAACATCTACGCTGTTATGATATCGGTAGATGTACAGCAGCTTCTACTAGCAAATCGAGCGCTAATGACGAATCTTGCCATGAGGAGGATATGTTGGTTGTGGTGTCTATTACCTGACAACGTAAAACAACGCTCAAAAATCGCGCAGTTTTCAAACGTTTCTCCTTTCTAAACCTAGACCGCCACAGGGCATCGGAGAACACATAACAGGAGAACTGGCGAAAACGGCCAAGTAATGGATTTTGCTGGAAGGCAAAGCAAAACTGTTCAAGCTTTTGAAAGTATGCAAAAGTTAGCAGATACGCTTGTGGACAGTGGCAAGAGGTCAAAACTTAGAAAAGCAAAATTTAGAGTAGTCATAGTATTTTTTTGTTATGGCGACTAAAGGCCTAACATGCTTTTAATTTAATGACTGAAACTGCAATAAGCGTAAAAGTCTCTTGGCCTTTAATAACAACACCACAAACCAAATTCGAATGAAGATTTATTGTAGCCGACGTGCTTGGTACTTGAAATAAAATGCGTGGTACAAAGAGTGTGCATACAAACGGCGTGGGTTGAAACTATAACGGTAAAAGAGCAAAAAAGTTACAAGTTGCGACTAAGGTGAATTAGAGTAAGGAAATAACAAAACTGCAAAACGAGGACTGTGAAGTACACTTATATTGTTTCGGCCAGAGAAAACTGCTGTGAAGCGGACTGCGAATAAAGCGAAGAGACTTGCAAAAAAATTACAGAACTGCGCTAAGCGCGGACCAAAATGAACTGCACAAACTGTACTGCAAAACTACGATATGAAAAATACGCTAGAACATGCGGAAAATAAAACTATAGAAACTTAGAAAGGC